TTATATCGCAAATTAAAGCTAAAAGTCTATATTTTTAGAAGAAATATTGAAATAAAAATAATTGCTAACAATTTTTTTTTAAATGCTTGATAAAATCTGTTAAAGAATAATTTGTGAAAATTAAAAAGATTTTAAAATTTTATTTTTAAGAGTTTAGAAACGATTTATTTATATCTAAAAGCTAAACCATTCTATTTTTAGATAGAACATAGAAATAACGGGATTTGATAAAGAAACTGTAGAAGAAATTTAACGATTTATAACTCAAATTAAAGTTAAAGGATTCTGTTTTTAGATGGAATATAGAAATAATGGGATTTGATAAAGAAATTGTAGATTTTTTTTATAAATCGTTAAGTTGACCATGCGCAATATTAATCAAATCGTTAAAAAAATCTCTGTTTCAACACCATTTCCGGAGTAAAAAAATTCATGGTTAAACATTTCTTTTTTCTTCAGTTTTTAATTAATGGTTTAATTGGTCTTAAAAGGCATAAAAATAAATTAACCTGCCATAAATCCTAAGATTAAATTCATTTTTACTTTATTAAATAAATGATTAAATAATTCATCAAGATGATTAAGTTTATTTTTAATTAAACTTATACATTAATCGTAAAAGAAAACAATTATGAATACACATTCATGTTGAAATTACAAATTGATTTCGAAAACAGTGTGGTTGCCAAAATGTATTTAACTGAACTTGGCAGTAAACAAGTGTGGTCCGAACTTGAATTCTTACTGACAGATAGCCAAAGAGGTGACACAGAGTCTTGCGCGGAGAGACCTGAATGGATGACATCATGAGTGAATTGGTCACCACCGTGGGAAAAGCAGACCGTTCATTTAGTATGCTGCCGCAGCGACCACACGTCTTCACATGTGCCTTCGGCCTCTACACGTACTACGTGCACATACGTAGGCATAAGAGAGGCATAACTGGAGAGGATCCGTCCTCGTGTTGCGCGAGAAAGAGGGGAAAGTGAAAAGAATAGAGATGTTGTGTGTGCAACTCGAATTGGAGTTGATGTGCAATTTTTGTTTATGATACCGCCGTTATTGTGTTATCGGTCAAATATTGTTACAAAGTTGCAGTTGAATTAGCTGAGCAAATAAGCTCCTGGTCCTATTTTTATACATTGCCAAAGGTGTTTATGTTATGATCTCTTATCTGTAGACGATAGAAAGATTGTAAAGAGAATAATGCTGAATTACTTTGTTTCTTTTTTCACACACATCTAAAATATCATTGTTCCGTTTAAATTATGGTTTGCTGAATATTAATTATTAAGAAAATTGTTTAAAAAGAATTATCCCAAAAATTAAAAGAGAATTACTTAATGTTAATAGTCATGGGAAAATTTTCCGTCTGCCAACCTTGTTTACTCAGTCATTAAATGCGTTAATTGGTACCAATATACTAGGTTTCTCTCTCCGTGCAATACGGTATAATGGCAAATACGACCTTGGATCTAACACAAAGAATAAGAACAACCAACTACCTAAATCCTAACTAGTTAAATGTTTGTTATACTAATAAATCTGTCCCTTTAGACTTTGAAAGATCGTACCGATTTGTTTACTAGATTTGTTAGATATCGGAGAAAAAAATTCCATTAAATCTGACAACCCTCTAAAATTTAGTTTTTTTTTGTTGGGGTAAAAATCACCGCTATAACATACATATGCTAATGACCCAAGCAGACAACCCCCTCATCAAACACGTTAAACAGTGTTTACACTACCTGAGCAACTCAACTCCATCCCGAACCTGGTTTCAGGATCCAAAAACAAATGGATAATGAACCGGGACACAATTCTCACGTCGTTATATGCACGCGGGAAACGTTTTCATCTCGGTAGGGCGAATGCACACGGTTGTAAAAGTAAAAACGTACAAGAAAGAATTAGGGGGCCTCGACGCGCGGCATAGCACCAGGGTTGATGGAACAGGTTGATTCGTTTTAGGAACGCTATTAACCGGGTTAGTGGTCGTAAAAAAGCGGACCCTTTTTTTAACTCACGGTCCTCTTGTGTGTATACATTCTTATTCTTGAGTCAGAGTTTGAAGAACACAGCGGCGTGCTACGCTTGCCGTGATTTTTACGGTTCCCTTCCTGCTGGTGCCGCCTTTATTCCTTTTACTCTTATATTGTTTTTTAAGTTCGTGTGGAGTGTGGATAAAAAGTTTCACGTGTTAAAGTCACATTATTGTTTTAAAATGGTTGTGTCATCATAATAATTTGAAGAAAATGAGTTGATTAAGTCTAAAGATGAGTTGGTAGTTTTTCATCGAAAGCGTAAAAATAATATAAATTAACAAATAATACATAATTAGTTTTAAAGTTGCACTTACTTCGTTAATTAATATGAATTGCAACTTATTGTTAACGAATTGTAGCTTATGAATTTGTGGCAGTTCAGGAACGACTCATATACCAATTTAAAATAAAGCTTTATGCTATAATTTAATATATAAATCATTTTTTTACTCCCATAAATAAAGATTAGCAAACGATTAAAAGTTTAGGTCAAATTTGGCAGTTTGTAACAAAAGTTTAATTTTAGGATAATTTTAAAAAAAGTATTTTGTAGGAATAAAGAATCGATTCATACATCAAAATAAAATTAAAACTTTATACTTTAATTTGATATATAAAGTAAATCTCAATTCCTACAAATACAGCTTACAGGAAGTTTTCAAGTTGTGCTTATTTTTTTAATTAATTTGAATTATAACTTATCGCAAAAAAATTGTCGCTTATTAATTAATAGGAGTTCAGAAACGGCGTATATACCACAATAAAAAGAAAACTTTATACTTTAATTTGATATATAGAGTAAATCTGAATTCCCACAAATACAGCTTACAGGAAGTTTTCAAGTTGTGCCTATTTTTTTAATTAATTTGAATTATAACTTATCGCAAAAAAATTGTAGCTTATTAATTAATAGGAGTTCAGAAACGACCTATATACCACAATAAAAAGAAAACTTTATAATTTAATTTGATATATAAAGTAAATCTGAATTCCCACAAATACAGCTTACATGAGGTTGTCAAGTTGTGCTTACTTTTTAAAATAATTTGAATTATACCTTATCGTTCAATCTCAAACAATTGTAGATTACTAATTTATAGCAGTTCAGAAACAAGTCATATACCAAATTAAAAAGGAAACTTTACTTTTTAATTTAATATATAAATCATTTTCTTACTCCCACAAATAAAGCTTAGAAAACAATTTAAAATTTAGGCCAAATATGGTATTTTGTAACAAAAGTTTAATGTTAGGGTAATTTTAAAATAATCGTAACTAAGTATTTTATAGGAATAAAGAATCGATTCATACATCAAAATAAAAATAAAACTTTATACTTTAATTTGATATATAAAGTAAATCTGAATTCCCACAAATACAGCTTACAGGAAGTTTTCATGTTGTGCTTATTTTTTTAGTTAATTAGAATTTCAACTTATCGCTAAAAAATTGTAGCTTATTAATTTATAGGAGTTCAGAAACGACTCATATACCACAATAAAAAGGAAACTTTATACTTTAAAATGATATATAAATCATTTTCTCACCCCTACAAATAAAGCATAGATAACGTTTTCAAATTGAGGTTAAATTTGGCAATTATCAATAAACGTTTAATTTTAAGGTAATTTAAAAAAAAATTGTAACTAAGTATTTTGTAGGAATAAAAAATCGGGCAATACATCAAATTGAAAAGGAAATATTAAGCTCTTTTTTGGTATATATGAAGCATCAATACGGCTTACATAGAGCTTTATCTTGGCATTTTTTAAACCGACAAAATTGAGGTGAACACAATTTTTGTTCTTAAATCATTTTTCTAAAGGGTGTTAAATCGTTACTAAGACTCAATGATGCAATAAAATGAGTTCATTTACTTGATCTTAGTAAAGGTCAATACCGTAATTAGATATTGGAATGTAGAGTAACGTTAAACTATTTGAAACATTTACGGTACCATGCCTTAAGAGTATCATTAATTACCGGTTGTTTACTTTTTTTTTAATATATGTACATAAAAGCAGTTTCCGTGGTTTTGTTTACCTTATTTGAACGTTAAAATTTATTTCGACCAAAATTACTGTTTCAAAATGAATTTGATCCTTACTAAGGCAACATTTAACCAACATGAAATAACTAACCCAATTTGTAAATTAAGCTCATAAATTAATTTGCATTAACCTGTTTATTAGTGGTTTCGCTTAAGATTTTACGGTGACTTATTTGTTAATTTGTTGATTATACGGTTCGATTAGTCTTGAAACGGTTTGCGGTGAAATTCTGTGTCAAACAGGCTTTTGGAAAACAGGAATGTGACTGAATCTGCATCAGTTTCCCGTCATATAATTAAACTTGTTCTATACGTGGTTTACAAAAACTATTTAAGTCGTTTCATACTTGCAGTAAAACCCAATCGACTAAGAATTTTCACCTCCATACTCACAGTGCAGAAAGTAATAATGATCCTAGCATACTTTTTACAACCAATTAATGCAATTTCACCCAACAAAATTGTAATATTAGAAGAACACTTTGACCGACTTATTGAAAATTATTATTGTAATTACGATAGATAAATTCAGATTTAATTAAATTTAATTAAATTAAGTGAATATTCGTCTTCGTATCTTATATGCGTATAATTACATTGAGATTATAATGGAATATTGCGATGATGAAGTTGATACTATAACGGGTAATAATTGGTACGAAGAAGAAAAATCGGATATGGTAGTTTATAATCAATGAAAATTAATTTTAATTATTATTGGATTTAATTATACGAATATCAATTTAATTTTATAACGTACGATAAATTAAAATCGTTTTGTTAATCTAAGTAAAATCTAAACTTTAATGTTGAACTTGTTCCTGTCATCATGGGAACGATCGTTTTCACAAAAGAAACAAAACATCTGTTATAAGTTTTAATTGATACAGCAAAGTTCGTGTTTTAATTGGTTCTGTTCATTAAAGCCGAATACGAAGAAGACCAAGAAGGAAGAGCCGACAAAGTGAAAGTGCCACCGAGTTCGGGCACAAGTAAGGTGTCCCTCTCGGGCGTTTCGCCTCTTTGGCAGATATAATTATGGTAAACGCGTGTGCGAGATGTCTCGTGTTACTTACCGTCCATCTGAAGGTGAAAGGCAGGACGAGTTTTCCCTTCTCAAGTTCGGGATCGGTGAGCGTGAAGGAGTCCCTACCCAGCACCGGACTGGATGTGTGTCCGAACGAGCAAGAACCGGTGCTGGTCACGTTGCTCTGGTATTCTTTAAGGCACAATCTGAAGAAGGTGTTGCATGGCAACGAGCACCTTTGGTGCGTCGGAGACTTTGATAGTACTCCACAGCAGCTACCGTTCGATAATAAGCTGCCTCTATTTGACATTTCCAACACTTGAAGTTCAAAAAAACCGGAGCCATGCGCGCACTAAAACAAAAGAAAAATTAATTAAATCATTTAATTTAATAACGACAAAAGAGTGCAAGTGATATGATTGCTTAGTAATAACATTTCTAAATCTAGTTCTCACAAGACGTTGAGAGAGTCTCCGGGTGGAATTGAGGTCTGCGTAGGATGTATGTAATGGGCAAAATAAGAACTCAAAGAGTTGCAATCACCTTAACATACATACGAGCGCTTCTTTCACTTTCAACGAACGAGAAGTATTTCATTTTTATTAACCACTAGACGTCGTCCGATAACATGCCGATATTCAATTAGTTGCGGCGATTAAAAGACTTAAAAGCAATTGACGAGAATTTGCATTCCCACATCGTTTTATGAGAACCCTGCACCATACCAGATATTGAAATAGCTCATTAGAAATAGGATTCTCCTTCCTGGTAGAGATTTTTCATACGTTTTTATCGCATTATACAGGTTTTCCCGCATATTAGATTTACGTTACGCAGTTTTTGCCTTTCTCACCGTCACGGCTCGAAAGAGATCGCTAAAGACTGTTCATGTGAATCGTCTTTTTATTAGGTAAAGAAGACGTTCGCTACTGCGTAATTGGAACATTTCAAAAATTTACTTTTTGATATACCACTATAATCATTGAGTTCACTTACATAACGAATCCATACATGACTCATATCCAAGTGAAATTTCCAATTACCAGTGCAAAAATAAATAGAGTAAATCAAAGCGATACAGAAATTATAACAATATGGTGTGGTATTAATTTTCCATTCACCGTTATATGTAAATTGAAAGGTTCTACCACTTTTACTTACACAACTAAACCAATCCAATTTAAAATCTTGAAAGAAATTAAAGGAAACTATACAGTTTTATGTGATATATAAAGTGTTTTTGAATTCCCATAAATACAACTTACATGAAATTTTCAAGTTATGCTCATTTTTTAATTACTACTCATCCCTAAAAATACTGTAGCTTATTAATTTATGGAAGTTTAGGAACGACTTATACACCTTCACAAATAATGCTTCATAAGGTTCATTCACTGTTATATGTAAATTGAAAGGTTTTAGCTTTACTTACACAACTAAACCAATCCAATTCGAAATCATAAAATAAACCAAAATAAAAAATTGATGGGTTAATTGTAAGTAAAGAAAAAACCGGTTTGTCAAAACATCCTGATTTAAACAGTAATTTAGTATTACCAAAAAAATGAGGAGATTACCAATAATTACAAGAGCACAGAGTTGTGATAAAAATTCTGTCTGCCTGGCACGAAGAACGTATCATTTGCGCGTCTGCTACATGGTGAGCATCGTGAGAAACTTATTGAAAATTCACGAATCCGAGAGACCCTGGTGAGGTCTTAATACAGCTGTCTGAAGAAAGTCGAGCCTTAATGATAGCCACTTCCTGCAATTCCCTGCTTTTTCGATCTCCTTTACACGGTGAATCGCCACTTGTCTCATCGGTAATACGGATTTCCCTTTACGACCAAAGAAAAGTTGATCGTTACAAATTATTCCGTAAAATTTACAGTTTTTGGAAGTTTTGGGAATATAATTATCACTTAAATGGAGGAAATAATGAAAGTTTCCGTATGACGAGAATTAGTTCGAAAGAATGCGAATTAATTAATTAACTCGATTTCTCTTTGGTTAAATTCGCAAAGCCATTTTTTATAATTAACCTAGAAATAATAATCTCGGAATGGTAATGAGTAAGAATTACAAGCGAACGTTGAATTATTAACATAAATACTTTATTAAATGTACCACGGTTTTTTGTATTTTAATTAATAACAAACAAGTTGTACTGAATAAAATCTCCTTTTATAGGGGTAGATAATAACTGCGCTACATGTAATTGTAAATTAAAAGCTAATTTTACGTTTAAAATCTATTACAATCGTTTATGTTTATAACATTAATTACGGTTATTATAATTATTTTCGTTTTTACGAGGTTTATGTAAAACCAGTTACAAATAAGAATGATGTTCTATTTAATTATATATTTTTTGATTTGAGGTTAAAATAAAAGTGACTAAAAATAAGAAAAATTGAGCTGAAATATCGAAAGTTACAGGATTTATAATTTAAAGTATGGATATTCCAATAAAATATGCGAAATTGCTACAAAATAGAAATGAAATTGTTCTGGGTCAAATCAAAAAGATTTGAAATCACTACAATCGAATGTTTTTGAGGTTATAAAAATTCATAACTTTCGTAAACATATCGTTGGAACTACGAAAATATCAGGAATTATGATAAAAGGTGTGTAGATTACGATAAAAAATGTAAAATCTTTGTTAAGGTTTGAATAAAAAAGTTACCCGTACTCAAATCGAAATGTATCTAGAAAGATGTTATTTGAGCTTAGAAAAATTCATAACTTTATAAAAAATTGAATTGGAATCACAAAATTGACAATAATTATGTTAAAAAGTATGTAGATTCTAAATGGTTATCAAAGTTGCGATGAAATAGTTCTAGGTGATCAAATCAAAAGGTATCAAAACCGCTGTAATTGAAGGTTTTCGAGGTTATAAAAACTGATAACTTTTTTACGCATAGCATTAAAATCACGAAATTATTAAGAGTAATAATAAAATATGCGAAATTGTTACCAAAATTACGATGAACAAGGGTGATTAAATCAAAGAGTATTCAAAAAACTAAAATTAAAGATTGTTGTTATAAAAAATTATAACTTTCTTACATATCGCATTGGAATCACGAAATAACTGGCAGTTTTAATAAAAAGTGTGTAAAAAGCGATAAAAAATGTTAGAGCTAAGCAAAAATTCATAACTTTATGAAACATCAAACTGAAATCACGAAATTCATGGGAAATATATTAAAAGGCATGTAGATTCTAATAAAATATGCTAAATTAAATATGACTGATCAAATCGAATTAAATTAATGAAGATTTTTAAGACCGCGCCTACAGACGACGGGAGTTGGTCGCTGAAACCGCTGAAAGAAAAAATAAAGTGTTTTGAAAGTCTTTCTGAATGTAACGTAAACATATCAGTTGATGGTTGCTCTAATGCACGTAATGACCCTATACTGTGTGCCATAATAATTACTGAAGATGGAAACGCATTCTTATATAATACGCTAATAGATACAGCTGGTAACCCCCATAAAAGTAACGTCATTTGTGTAGGATATGCTACGAAGATGACAAGTATGATAAGACATAGATCAGAAACTTAAGCTTTAGTAGTTCTGTTATAACTTATAGATGTTCAGCTCACATTCTAAATTTGTTTTGCAAAGACCTTGACGGAACTAAAGTCAAATAGTTTGTGATTCAAATTGTGAAATATTTTAGAAACAATTAAAAGTTGAAAAGGTTTAAACGATGTGAGGTGAAACAGTATGGTGGATTGTCTGCAAATCAATGAAAAAAACTGTCAAAAGTATGTGAAGAAAATAAAAAAGAAATTGATCCTACAATATATACCAAAAAGTATCTAATTTTGATCCCAAACGATCTGCAGAAGATTACTTAAATATCTTAAACTCAACATCCCGAGGACATGATAAATTGTAAAAAAAAAGGTACTTCTCTATACAGGGTCATCCACGACCGTCCATTAAAACTTTACAGGGTTCTGGCCAAAACAAAATTTTGAAAATTCAGATTTTAGTATTATTAATTGCGTACTTTATTTTTTTAAATGGAACACCCTATATACTTTTACATATTTGTGTTTGTCTGTTTTCAAGGTTTATGAATAACTTTACTTTTTGCAATTTTATTCCGCCGTTCTCGAGTTATTCGAATTTTTCTAGAAAAATCTGCTCCAGCAGACATTTGTTAAAGAAATCAGAGAACACTCGATTTTTGTGATATCAATTTAGGATTGGGAACATGCGTAAGCAATATGATGGAGTATGTTTTGGTGCCGAGTACGGCTGTCTAGAAAGTTTGGTCACTTTACTACGGCTCGTTAACTTTTCGAATTTTGGAAGTACCATAACTTAATTTTTTTAAATGGCACCCCCCATATTTTATTACTTAGTCGTGTTCGGTGTCTCATTTTACATCTTTTATATCCCATGTGTCTTATACCTAACATTTATAGTTTGGGAGATAATTAGAGTTTTTTGAAAAATGCACAAATATATCGATATTTAACCTAGTGTGCCATGAATACATACTGTGACCTAGTGAATAACTATATGAAGTGGCCTTTTGAAAATTTGCAGATTTGTGATGTTTGATGCCAGCTTTTTACTAAAATATTTTCAGGTTCCGGGTGCTCGTGATTACACCGGAAGCGGTGACAATTTTCATATTTCAAATGGAACACCCTGTATTTCATTACATTTTTGAAATTTTTGTTCAATTAGGCTACTTGTATGTTGCATTATTATTTGGTTGCACTTCTCCATAAATTATTATCAGATTCAAATAAACCTCATTACTAAATTCCAAACGTTGCATTTCTTGAGAACAGATCACTACAAAACGTCATCGCACCAACAGAAATAAACCGTAGCTTTAGTAAATGTCAAACTGTTTACTCTTTCCTTACTGATCCTCTGATAATACATAACCACAACAACATTCCCAACACAAAATTTTTTACGGCGGTCAAAGTAGATGATTTATAAATTATAAAAGTAACGTTATAGTTAACATTTTTGATTGAACAATTTAATAAAACTCAGGGTGTTCCATTTGAAATATGAAAATTGTCACCTCTTCCGGTGTAACCACAAGTACCCGAAACGAACCTGAAAATACTTTAGTTAAAAATCTGGCATCAAACATCACAAGTCTGAAAATTTTCAAACCCCCACTCCATTTGGTTATTCACTTGGTCACACTAGGCACTTAATTTATGGCACACTAGGTTAAATATCGATACGATATGTGTGAATTTTTCAAAAAACCCTAATTATCTCCCAAACTATAAATGTTAGGTATAGGACACATCGGATATAAAAGATGTAAAATGAGACACCGAAGACGACTATG